CAGCCTTTCACAACCTATTCTTGCCGCTGTTGTTAAGTGAATTGCTGCGGTTTGCAACCCCGTCGTTAAGCAGATCACGCTTCCCCATTGACTTTGCTCAGCCGGAGGTCGTCAAAGGGGATCACATGACCCCACGACATTGCGGACCGTCATAAGTACCGTATTTTTCAGAGTATAAGACGCACTAAGGTTTTGAAGAGGTAAATAAGAAAAAAGGTTTTTGTACTCCCCGACCCCCAGGAGCGTTCTGCAGGCTTCAGCAGGGAAGCGAAAAAGACCCTGCTTTTGTGAAAAACAGTCTGTTATCTGCAAAAATGGGGTGTGGGGCAGGGCTTTGGGAGCCCCAAAATGGCCGTATTAGGGGTATAAGACACACCAATATTTCCACGCTCTTTGGGGGGGGGGAGGTGCGTCATACTCATAAACATACCGTACATGTCGGTTGTCAAGTGTCCAAATTTTGACCAAGTGACCTCAGGGAGGCTGCGGTGGTCACACGTGTGAAAAACGGCAACATTTTCCAGTCCTGAATGGTCGGTAAACAAAGCAAGTTGAGGCTCATTTGTGCCTGTCCTCTTTCCCCAGGAGACATATCTGATGAAGCACATGTCGAAACATACGGTGGTGGAGCACCTGGTGAGCCAGCACTCACCTCAGAGGACAGAGTCCCCCGGCATTCCCGTTCGGATATCCCTCATCTGAGACGCAGAGGGGCAGCGGCCCTCCCCTTGCGCGACGGACCTTCGTGAATACCCAAAAGGAGGAAGGGAGCAAGACGGAGATCTCCGGATGATGCAAGATGGCCGCCGTGCTCTCCCTGTGCTGTTTCCTCAGATTTCTCGACAGTCTACAGCACTGTGCTCAGGAGGACCAAGGGACCCCTCCCCTCCTCCCTGTCCCCCGCCCCTCATTCACCCCCAAGCAACCTCGGACCTTGACGATGTTTGTGGAGGGGACGCGTCCTCACGACGTTGGGGACAACCAAAGACAATCCCACAGCACTTTCACCCTCCCTTCCTCGCTTCTCCGGGAGCACCGCTGTCTGGGATCGCGGCGTTCTGTTTTTTTCCTGCGTCCCCTCCCTTTTCTCAATTCAAATCATTTCCCCCCTCTCTCCTCCCCACCCCCTAAAAAAAAACATTGGCGCGGATTTGAGAGATGTCTTGGATACGGAGCACATAATCCCTCCACCCGGAAGCTATTGTGGGTCTTCTTGGACAAAGGACGGCGCCGCACAGTATTTTGGTGCTAAATTGGAAGGAGACCCAACACCCCAGAAGCATCGAGAGAGAAGAGGCACAGTCTGGGCAGACGCAACAATGCCACACGCCAAATGTCGTAAGCCTGTACCCACTCACTTTCTGCCGCAACATCAGGGAGGATCCTGGGGCCCGTCTTACGTGAAGAATGGAGCCAACCTCTGGTCTTTTTCGAGAGGGGGAGGAAAGCTTGCAAAACTCAGTGGGGAGATCCTGCATGCATTGGGGCAGGGAGGGATACGGGAACCAGAGCACTTGTAGCCGTATGTCAGGAATGTCCGCAGCATTAAACAAGGGTTTGACACCCTGGTGGTCTGTTGGGACGAGACAAACCATTGGACGAGATCAGTCACGTAGAGAAGACAAGGTTGGCACCTGTCCTGGCAGCAAAAGTGGGCGCAGATCTAGGGGACACGCACTTGGGGGGGGGTGTTGCTTCCAGGAGCACGGCTTTTAGCCATGTCTGAGCTACAACTAGGTGGTTGGGATGTCCTATTCCCACGGAGTCGGAAAACCATTGTATTTGGTCGATGGGCACGCAACTTGGCCAAGTGAGTCTTTCGAGGGGGAGGGCAGCGGGATCCCTCACTTTGCCATTTCTCCCCCCCCCCATCATCAAATCTGCTCCTCCCATTTTGTGGTCGCCCCGATTCTCCATCTCTAGTTGACCCAAAGACGCACCAACAGACGTTCCTATGCCTCTTGGCTGGTGTGTGAATGGCAGAAGATGACCATCCGTGGTGAGAAGGAGCAACTTGCAGGGAACTCATTTTATCTTAGGGGACGGGACACGGAGGGGGGGTCATCCAGGAGCCTTAGAAAAGTGGTCTTCCCCAGGCAAAGGATGATTTATGCAGCTTTTCAATCTCAGGCCTACCGCTAGTCTTGCTTACAACTGGAACACTAACCCTGCACGCATCGCAGTGGTTCAGTTGTAACAGTCGCGAAATGGGTACCTCACACGACCGGCGCAATTTTACAACCTTTTTGGCGGCAGTCGTAGAAAACGAACCCCGAACTCATTAAGTGTACGCCACAGTTGTTATAGCAAACCCATTTGTTCACTCTTAACAGTGACCAGTCATAAGTCAGGGAGTACCTATATAGCTGGAAGGGGTCTCCCCGACCCCCCCCCCCAGGCTTCATCACCCCAATGCAGTCAAGGCCTTCCTTTCTTCCGCGTGCAATTGGGCTCTGGCACAACCACATTAGTTTGCAAGAGGCATTGCCAAAGATCTTGGCAAAGATCTTGGCAAAGACCTTGACGAGGCAGGACTTCAGTTCACCAACCATGCCAGCAATCCAAAACCCTTCCAAAGTCTCAAGGGCAATTATTTCTCAACTTCAGCCACTTTGAAGACTTCAACTCCCAGAATTCCCTGGTTAGCCCTGTCTTTTTTTCCCCACCTCCGAGAGCAGAGAGATTGAAGAGGAAAGGATTATAAGAGAGTTAAGCAGGCCACAAAATACAGGGAAAATAATGCATTATCAAGAGTGGTTAAGAATGCAGTGCCGCAGGTTCCTGCTGATCCCTGGCAGTTTGGCAGATCGAATCTCGCAGGCTCAAGGTTGACTCGGTCTTCCGAGGTGGGTAAAATGAGGACCCCAATTGTTGGGGGCAAGAGGCTGACTCTGTAAACCGCTTAGGACTGTAAAAGCACCATGAAGCGGTATATAAGTCTTAAGTGCTATTGTCCCCAGGGGATTCTGGGATATGTCTTCGAGTGGCCATGGTTGAGAAATTGACCTTCTGTTCTTGGTTTTGTCTCCCCTCCTTGTTTCTGGCTCAGGAGAGGCACAGGACAGACACACCCCCCCCAATGTCTTTTCAAACCTCGCCTCCCCCTCCAAAAAAAAATGCTGGGGGGGGGGGGGAAATGCCATTGCTCATCCTTGCCCGAGTGTTGCTCCCACCCTTCCTTCTGAAACCAAAAGTATCGGCAAGCCCCTTGCCAAGATTTTTGCAGGCCAACCCAAATGCAACTCCAACCCCCCCCCCTTGCCTGGTTTTTAGTCACACCTTAACATTTTGTCTAAATAGGGTAAGGGGGGAGGAAGACCTCCACTCTCCCCACCAACACAACTGAAAATCCACCTCTCTCTCTCTCTCTCTTCCCCCCCTTTGGAATCCCTGCTGGTGGTTTTGTTTTTAAAGATATGAATTACCTATTTCTTTTTTTAAAAAAAGGAAAAAAAATATTTTTACGCCTTAAAAAAGTGTTGCTGTTTTTTTTTAAGCAGGTTGTTTGTTTCTCGCCGTTTATACTGATTTGGTCCTTCCTCCCCTTTTTAAAAACGCTTTTTTTCTCTCTCTGAGTTTTGAATTGATGTTGTATGATATTCAATATTGTATCCTCTCCTCTTTTTTTTTGGCATGTTAATAACTGTGTAAATAAGACTCTTATACATATTGTTAACATCTTTTTTTTTCTATATAAAAGCCCTGGAAACATCTAGGTAGTGCCCCTTGTTAATGAAGAAAAAGAATTTTTTAAATATATATATATAAAGAGGGAACATCCTTCCTCCCAATTTCTAAAACTCTCTCGTGTTGTGGAAAGAGAGAGAGACTGTCCCTTGTTCCGGGCAACCGTTTGCATCGTTCAGAAAGAAATTAATAATATTACCAATATATGNTGTGTTTATAATGTGTTGTCTCTTTAAAAAATGAAAGAGAGGAGAACCGGGCTGAATCGAGACTCCTTCCTCTTCCTCCTCTGGTGCAGGATTTTGCTTAGCCTTTTCCCCCCAACTTCCAGGTTTGGGGCTGGGGTCCCGGACTCCTGCCGTCAGCACTTCTGAATCCAGTACGGGGACGGGGACCAGCACCGCCTCCACGCCCACCTCCTCCAGTCAGAGCCACCTCATCGCCTCCTCGCCCACCCTCATTTCGGGGATCACTAGCCCCCCGCTGTTGGACTCCATCAAGACAATCCAGGGCCACAGCCTGCTGGGGGCCCCCAAGAGCGAACGAGGCCGCAAGAAGATCAAGGCTGAGAACCCGTCGGGACCGCCCGTCCTCGTGGTCCCGTACCCCATTTTAGCTTCGGGAGACATCGGCAAAGAAGGGAAGACGTACAGGTGGGTGGAGAAAATGGGCTTCCGATCACTGGCCCACCTCGAAATAAAGGTGCGGTTTTTGGTGCCCAGCGAATGCCACATATAGTTTCGAAAACAAAATGGGAAACGGCTGCGTTTAAATGTTCGTGTCATATCTGACATTTTTGGTGTGAGAAATGGGAAACGCCCCCCACAAAAGGGCTGCTGTCACAGAGGCAACCTGTCTCCAGACCAACCACTAGTATAACTGGTCTCATGATCTCTTGCCTCCACTCTGTCCCTGTGTGGTGGGCCCAGGTGGGACCCTGCCCCTAAAGATGGAGTTTTCACCATCCGTACAAAATAGTTTCCTGGATTTGGTATTCTGCGTTGCAGAGTCATGCATGATAATCAGGTTGCTAACGTGGCAGTGAGTTCCAGAAGTCAAAAGCCCACCTTTGTTTCTGTCTGAAGCTTCCTTTCACTCTCTGTCCCAAGCGTTGTAATCTCAGCCTCCCATTTTTGCACCCGGGCACAGTGCGTTCTCCTCTCAAGACCGAGCCTTTCGCCGTCCACGTGGGGCCAGAGTCAAATCCGGGTTGTGGGCTGCCCTCTGGTTTGGGGTTCGGCAGTGTCCCTAACCTCTCTTCCTCGCTCCTCAGATGTAAAGTCTGCCCGCTTACCTTCTTCACCAAGTCAGAGATGCAGATCCACTCCAAGTCGCACACCGAGGCCAAGCCGCACAAGTGCCCGCATTGCTCCAAGTCCTTTGCCAATGCCTCTTACCTGGCGCAGCACCTGCGCATCCACCTGGGTGTCAAGCCCTACCACTGTTCCTACTGCGAGAAGTCCTTCCGCCAGCTCTCCCACCTCCAGCAGCACACCAGGTATGGCTCAGCCAGCACAGAGGCCTTGGGACCTTGGTAGGTCCACGACGGCAGCGGGACGTCCTTCGTCTGGGTGGTGGGGCAGTTTAAACCATTTGGAGGGAAGCCAAGGGGTGGAGTTAAATGGAAGAAGTGGGGTTACAAGGGAGGGGCAAAGTTGCAAGCAAAGGATAACATAGCAATGTGGAATCAGGGCCTGTACTGTACACTGCCGGTATACTACCTGTACTATACACTGCCTGTATACTACCTGTACTGTACACCACCTGTATACTACCTGTACTGTACACCACCTGTATACTACCTGTACTGTACACCACCTGTATACTACCTGTACTGTACACTGTGTACTGTACACCGCCTGTATACTACCTGTACTGTACACTGTGTACTGTACACCGCCTGTATACTACCTGTACTGTACACCGCCTGTATACTACCTGTACTGTACACTGTCTGTATACGACCTGTACTGTACACTGTCTGTATACGACCTGTACTGTACACTGCCTGTATACTACCTGTACTGTACACCGCCTGTATACTACCTGTACTGTACACCGCCTGTATACTACCTGTACTGTACACCGCCTGTATACTACCTGTACTGTACACCGCCTGTATACTACCTGTACTGTACACTGTCTGTATACTACCTGTACTGTACACTGTCTGTATACT